TTGCTGCATTCAGTGGGAAGGTCAGTAGGCTTTCGCCCAGAGGCCTGGGAAGGATTTTATCCCCCATCGGTAATCCTGGCAACCGTCAAAATTGCTCCTGCCGTTTCTGAAACTCCCTGTAAGCAATGGGGTCCTCCCACCGGGACATGGCAATGAAGACCGTGGGCACCCGTGAGCGCTGGTCGGTAATGGAGGCCGCAGGACTGAGGAATACAGAAGACAGAATCTAAAAGTGAGCCCCTGGCGCTGGTTTTGGAGTCCCTGTGGTGCCTTCCACACAGGAGGAGAGACAGGGTTGGCGTGGGAAGATCACGAGTGCAGGTTTTGCCTTTCTGAATAGAGGTGGTCCGAGCACTTAAAGTCAAGTTGAGGCAAGTTGGGTCTCGGGAGCTGCAGGGGCCAGGGCTGTAGCCTGTAAGTGCAGAGTCCAGAGTCCCTGGGGTCACCAGGGTGAGGCGGAAGTGTCCAGGGCCCGGGGAAGAACACTGAAAGCACCATGGACAGCCCAAAGGACCAACGAATCCGTCTTGGAAGAAGTACAGCCAGAGCGCTCCTTAAGGCAAGGAAGGTGGGTGAGACTGGTCTCCTGGGCTTTGGACATGTTGTCGGGAGACACCAGCCCCTGGAGCACACGGTGCTTGGTACCGCGGAGGGGCAGAGCAAAAGAGGAAGGCCCACAAGGAGATGGACGACACAGGGCTGCAACAATGGGCACGGGACCAACTGTGAGGACGGCCAGGACCGGGTGGTGGTGGCTTCTGTTGGGCATCGGGTCACTACAGGTCAGGCCCAACTCGATGGCACCCAGCCCAAGCAGGCAGAGAGTAGGAAGACAGAATGCTGAGTTGCTCCCTGGGGGCTAGAGGGCTGGGGGGTAGGGGTGGGCATGTCTGTTGCACACCTCCTTCTGCTGTCCGATCGTCTGTCGGTCTGTCGGTCGGTCAGGCCTGGCGGTCTGTTCTAGCATAACTAAGGCAGGCCTGAGGCAGCACTAGTTTCTTCCCTTCCCTTAGAGCCCTCAGTTCTAGACCATGCCCTCCGTATCATGTTTAGGCCCCCATATCGTAATACATGACTCTGCAAGGTCCCGCATGCCTTCCTACTGGGCCATGCGCCAACTCAGACCCCTTGTCGCCTAAGCCGCAGCATGTGCCAGACACCCACACCTCAGCACAGAAACAAACACGGGGTGCTGCTGATCGCCCCCATGTGTGCGAGGGTAACACTGTGCTCCATCGGGCAGCGGTTCTCAGTCTGTGGGTGGCAGCCCCTTTGGGGGTCGAACGACCCTTTCACAGGGGTCACCTAAGACCATCGGAAAACACATATTTCCCATGGTCTTAGGAACCGAGACATCGCTCCTCTATCCATCTCCAGGCAGGTCCGCCCACATGCAGATACACCCACATATGAGTACCTGGTGTGAAGACTGTTACCTATGCTACACCATGCTACAAGACAAAATTTCATTTATTTGTCATTAGAAATAAATATTTCACAATATATTATGACATATTGTTTTTGTGATTCATCACTATGCTTTAATTATGTTCAATTTGTAACAAAGAAAATACATCCTGCATATCAGATATTTACATGATGATGCATAACAGTGGCAAAATGACAGTTATGAAGTAGCAATGAAAATAATTGTATGGTTGGGGGGGGTCACCACAACATGAGGAACTGCATTAAAGGGTCGCAGCATAGGAAGGTGAACAGGGCTGTAGCCTGTAAGTGCAGAAGAAAGATTGCCAGACCTTTCTTCCAAGGCGCCTCTGGGTGGAGCTGAACCTCCAGCCCCTCAGTCAGCAGCCAGGTGTGGTCTCCATCCGCAGCACCCAGGGCCTGCACCCCCTGTACAGCACCCACAACCTACAAAATACTTTTTACCTGCTTGATACTCTTTAAAAATGATTCCTCATCACCAACCTTGTGGGTGGGAATCGCTATCCCCATTTTATGGACTAAAAAAAAATGTTTGAGGCCACCCACGAGGACTGGGGGTGCTGGCTATTGGACACAAAATGGGTTCCTTTGATCCTCTGAGAATCAAACGCACTGCCATCGAGTCACTACTGCTGCATAGTGACCTTAGAGGACGGGTAGAATTGCTCCGTGAGTTTCCAAGACGATAACTCGGTGGAAGTAGAAGCCTTGCCTTTCTCCCTCGGAGAGGTCGGTGGTTCTGAACTGTGGACTTGTGGATCACAGCCCAACGCGTAACCCCTGTGGCACCAGGGCTTCTGATGCTACCCTTGTTAATTGCACATGCCACTGTTTTCACATCGGGTGAGCACGATGAATTTGTTCTCTCGCGGAAAGCTGCAAGACTGACTCACTCGACTCTCACTGCCATCGGCCCAACACCAACTCATAGCAGCCCTGTAGGACAGGGGAGAGCTGCCCCTTGTGAGACTGGAACTCTTTATGGGAGTGGAAAGCCCCGTCTTTCTCCCGAGGAGCGACTGGTGGTTTGGAACTGCTGACCTTGCAGATGGCAGCCCAACGTATAACCACTGTGCCCCCACAGTACTAAATCCATTCGAGTGGCCCCACCTCACTCCTGAGATGACATGGAAACTGGGTGAGGATGCCCCTGCCTCCAGCGGGTGTGGGAGAAAGACCATGTGTTTCCATCGGCATGAAAGCCAACCTATGACAGCATCTCGTTAGGAAGTCAAGACTAACGTATCCCTCACGGTGCATCCATTCGTGACAAAACAACAGAGAAAAACAAGGCACAGGTGGGTGTAAAATGCAGGACGGTGGTTTCCCCAGGTGCCAGCAGGGAAGGCACATGGGGCTTCAAAAGTGCTGGCGGGCATTCTGTTCCCTGGGACAGGTTGTAGATGCCTATGGATTATATGTTTATACCTAAACCCACAGCAAAGAGGCAGCTACACCGCTGCCTAAGGAATGATAAAGTCACACCTCCGGACTGAGATGGGCTAGGAGGAACGACCTGGTGATCTACTTCTGAAAACCAGACCAACGAGAATCTCTGGATCCTACCAGCATGGACGGATATGGCACAGGACCGGCCCGGGAGCTGGGAGGTGACTTACAGCATGTAACAACTACCTCTCTCGTCCTGGGTCCACTGCGCCCAGCAGAGATCAACAGAGCTCACCGCTTCTTCTCTGGGAGTCAGAACAGTGTTAGCAAAACCACAGATGCTGTTTGATCCCGCTCCAAGCAAAGAAAGATCCTAGAATGTACTTACAGGAGGAGAACAGAGAAGCGAGAGAAAGGAGAGAAGGCAGAGGCTGGTGAACGTGGCAGGGCCCAGAACCCCCGAGGACCATGGGGGTGGGGTGCAGTGGGGGCAGAAAGACATCCTGGTCTCTGGAGCTGAACTGAGAAGTCTGTATTTTATTTCCTCCGTGGTCTCTTAGGAGCCGGGCGGACAAAACCTAAGTAACTTCTCAGGACCTCCGTGTCCTCACCTGTGAAACAGCAACAAAAAATATGGACCTCCTCAGGTTGTCTAAGGAGCCCTGGTGACACATGGTGGGTTATACCCTGGGCTGTTAACTGTAAGGTGAGCGGGTTCAAATCCACCATTCACTTCTCAGGAGAAAGATGAGGCTGTCTGCTCTGGTAAAGAGTCAGTCTTGGAAACCCACAGGATTATACTCTGTGTACGTGGGGTCGCCATTTGTCGAATGTACATGAGGACAACTGACAGAGAGCACGCGGCTGTCTGGGGACACAGACATGGCTCGGTGATAAATTCTCACCCTCCAGGCAGAAGGCCCAGGTCTCTTACCTGGACCTAACTGGGCTGCATTTCTAGCCAGTCACCACCACTCATCTGTGGGTGGCGGTGTGTGTGCTGCGATGCTGGTCAGATTCCAGCAGAGCTTC